TAGGGCACCAGCCCCATATACTGGATGCACTGGGTTCAAACCCGACCCCAGCAAAAAAAACTGAAAAAAAAAAAAAAAAAGGAACAGGGGTGGTGCCTGTGGCTTAAAGGAGTAGGGCGCCGGCCCCATATGCCAGAGGTGGCAGGTTCAAACCCACCTCTGGCCAAAAAAAAAATGTGGAACAGAGGGCTCGGCGCCTGTGGCTCAAGTAGCTAAAGCACCAGCCACATATACCTGAGTTGACAGGTTTGAATCCAGCCCAGGCCATCAAGCAACAATGACGGCTACAACCAAAGAATAGCCGGGTGTTGGGGCAGGCGCCTGTAGTCCCAGCTACTTGGGAGGTGGAGGCAGGAGAATCACTTGAGCCCAGGAATTGGAGGTTGCTGTGAGTTGTGATGCCACAGTACTCTATCCAGGGCAATAGCTTGAGGCTCTGTCTCAAAAAAAAAAAAAAAAAAAAAGAATGGAACAGAGGTGTTGGTGCCTGTGGTTCAGTAAGGCACCAGCCCACTATATACTGAGGGTGGTGGGTTCAAACCCAGTCCCAGCCAAACTGCAACAAAAAAATAGCTGGGTGTTGTGGGCGCCAATCCCAGCTACTTGGGAGGCTGAGGCAAGAGAATTGCCTAAGCCCAAGAGCTGGAGGTTGCTGTGAACTGTGACGCCACAGTGCTCTACACAGGGCAACAAAGTAAGACTCTGTCTATAAAAAAAAAAAAAGAATAGAACAGAGATGACCAAGTAGCCATGTTGGAGAAACAACAAGGATTCTAGACTCAGTTCTCTTTTTGTTTTTTTAGAGAGTCTTACTATGTTGCCCAGACTAGAGTACCATGGCATCATAGCTCACAGCAACCTCAAACTCCTGGGCTCAAGCTATTTCCTGTCTCAATCTCCCAAGTAACTGGGACTACAAGTGCCTGCCACAATGATTGGCTTATTTTTTCTATTTTTACTAGAAAGGTCTCTACTAAAGAGGTCTCACTCTTGTTTAGGCTGATTGGGAACTCCTGGGCTCAAGGGACCCTCCTGCCTTCACCTCCCAGAGTGCTAGTATTACAGGCATGAGCCACCATGTCTGGCCCAGATTCAGTCCTTTTTTTTGAGATGGAGTCTCAAGCTGTTGCCAACACTTGGCTATTTTTTGGTTGTAGTTGTCATTGTTGTTTGGCAGGCCTGGGCTGGATTCAAACCCATCAGCTCTGGTGTATGTGGGTGGCACCCTAGCCACTGAGCTACAGGTGCCGAGCCCCATTCGGTTCTTTCTTTTTTGAGACAGAGCCGAGCTGTCACCCTGGGTAGAGTGCTGTGTATCACAGCTCACAGCAACCTCAAACTCCTGGGCTCAAGCAATTCTCCTGCCTCTGCCTCGCAAGTAGCTGGGACTACAACCACCTGCCACAATGCCCAGCTATTTTTTGGTTGCAGCCGTCATTGTTGTTTGGCGGGCCTGGAATGGATTTGAACCCACCAACTCAGGTGTATGTGGCTGGCGCCTTAGCCGCTTGAGCCACAGGTGCCAAGCCTCCCAATTCGGTTCTTAAAGGTCCTGACACCCTTCTAGATGTGGCCTCAGCTCTGCTAAGAGTGAGGTTCCATAATATTCTCTTTGGGTCTATCCTTAGGCTATTCTATGCAAGTAAAGTCTCTTGTCCAAGATGGGACCCTAGCCAAACCCTCCAGCCACAGCAGCTGTGACAAAGTTAGTCTCCTCAGCCTCTAGAATCTGTGAGTCGCTTCCCTGCCTCAAAATATGCTGTCCACTGGGTGTGGTGGCTCACACCTGTAATCCTAGCACTCTGGGAGGCAGAGGAGGGCAGATCACTTGAGTTCACATGAGTTCAAGACCAACCTGAGCAAGAGAGAGAGACCCCATCTCTAAAAATAGCCGGGCGTTGTGGCAGACACCTGTAATTCCAGCTACTTGGGAGGCTGAGGCAAGAGGATCACTTGAGCCTAAGAGTTTGAGGTTGCTGTGGGCAATAACGTCACAGCACTCAACCCCAGGGCGACTGAGACTCTGTCTTAAAAAAAAGAAAAGAATTTGGACTGAATATATCCCCTCTTCATCTTAGAAGGAACAGAGCTGAGGTATGCCACTATTGGATCCTTTCTGAAGACACTGCCTGCTCTGATAGCTACGGAAAACATGTTCGTGCACCTTGTCCATGCACAGGTTGGAACTGATGCTGGGTGGAATCCCATCCTCTACCCTCTGCCTCTCAGCCTCAGCTTCTTCACATGGTAAAATGATTCTGATTCCTAACTAACAAGGTAGTTAGAGGATTAAATATGTCAAGCACCCAATGTCAAGTTCCTCTTGCTAACAAGTCTTTTGTATCTTTCATGTGTTCCTTTGCCTGGAATGTCCTTCTTCCATCTTTGTTAAACTGTTCACCCTCCAAATGCTGCCTTATGTAATATATCAGCTCCTTCTCAGAGCCTTCAGGGTGCTTAGCAGCTGTTTCGTTCCCAGCTCTGGCACTGTTGTCTGTATCTTACAGCCCCCCCTAGACTGGAGTCCTTCAAGGCCAGGGCTATTTGATTCTCTTGAAGAACCTCTGTGGGTAAAAAGTGTTGTGGAAATTTTTATTTATTTATTTATTTGTCCAGGGCTGGGTTTGAACCCGCCACCTCCGGCATATGGGGCCAGCGCCCTACTCCTTTGAGCCATGTTGTGGAAATTTTTAAAAACACCCAAGAATTAAGAAGGTACTATAGGTGGCGCCCATACCTCAGTGAGTAGGGCACCAGCCATATACACTGAGGCTGGTGGGTTTGAATCCAGGCCGGGCTAGCTAAACAACTGCACAAAAAAAATTGCTGGGCATTGTGGCGGGTGCCTGTAATCCCAGCTACTTGGGAGGCTGAGGCAAGAGAATCGATTAAACCCAAGAGTTGGAGGTTGCTGTGACCTGTGACCACGGCACTCAACCCAGGGCGACTGCTTGAGGCTATTTCAAAAAAAAAAAAAAGATACTATAAAGTATAAAATAGTATAAAGAACTCCTTTTGCCCCATGTAACTTCAATAAATACCAACAGGTATAGTCAATCTTATTTTACTATCCCCCTTGCTTTATGAATCGAAACTTTACACTCCCAACCCTAATACAGAGCATGTGCTCAATCTACTGTCCCAGGGCTCCTGCCTGGGACATCTCCTAGCTGTGCTGGGAGCACCAGTGCTGGGAGAGGTGAGCTTTACACTGCACAGCCCCTATTCCTGTAGGAACAGGCCCAGGGTAGGATGGAGGCCAGGGGGAGGAAGAGGAAGACAGGCTAGTACACGACCCTTCAAGCCTCCACATGGGGATCACTCAGCATGGATACAGAACCAGGACCTGTATTTCAGGGAAGCTCTGCTTCTGTCTTGATTGGACCCAACTCTGCCAGGTGGTTTCAATGGCACCATGACATCTTCTTGCAGAAGTTTTGTGGAGGCTTCTCTATGCCTAGGTCTGGAGTGTCCTGGGGAACCTAGACCTGGAGGCCCCTGATCACCCTTTGGGTTCTGGCTCTACTTCTGCAAGTCCGATTCAGCCCCAGGGCCACATGGTTTGTGCATCAGCTCTGGCCTCACTTTTCCTCCTAGCTGGCCTCAGTGTCTTACACGGACACCCTCTGGTAATACCAGTTCCATATCATCCTCCTAGGAGACTCAACTGTGGGCAAAGTATCCTTATTGAAGGATGCTGCACAGAGGGCACCTTTGTTGAGGTACCTGGGGGTACAGGTGGAGATCCAGTGATGAAACACAGGTGGCCAAGAAGGTCCTGGTGAGTATGGTAGTAGCAGACCTCTGGACACATCCCTGTTCCCTGCCTTCTACACCATCCCAAACCTGAGAGCCAAGGAGGGAGTGCATCTACCAGGAAGGGTAGGGCAGGAGAAGGGGCTATTTAGAATGATGGACCAATAGCACAGGTCTGAGTCTTGCCCTGCCTAGTGACCTTGGAGAAGTCACATGACACTTCCAGACCTCAGAGTTCTTACCTGCAAAATAAGGGGTCACACTGGATGACCTCTGAAGACTTTTGTCTGGTTTTTTTTGAGACAGAGTTTCACTATATTGCCCTTGGTAGAGTACCGTGGCGTCACAGCTCATGGCAACCTCAAAGTCTTTGGCTTAAGCAATTCTCTTGCCTAAGCCTCCCAAGTAGCTGGGACTACAGGCGCCTGCCAAAACACCAGACTATTTTTTTTTCTTTAGAGACAGAGTCTTAACTTTATTGCCCTTGGTAGAGTGCTGTAATATCACAGCTCACAGCAAACCTCCAGCTCTTGGGCTCAGGCGATTCTCTTACCTCAGCCTCCTGAGTAGCTGGCATTACAGGTACCCACTACAATGCCTGGCTATTTTTTTTTTTTGTAGTTTGGCCGGGCTGGGTTTGAACCCGCCACCCTTGGTATATGGGGCCAGTGCCCTACTCACTGAGCCCCAGGAGCTACCCCAGGCTATTTTTTGTGGCAGTGGTCATTATTGTTTAGCTGGCCCAGGCCAGGTTTGAATCCACCACCCTCAGTGTATGTGGCTGGCACCGTAACCACTGTGCTACAGGTGCCAAGCCACGAAGACCCTTGTCTTAAGGCCAAGGATAAATATAACTTTTCCTAGGAATTCCAGAAAAGCATTGCCAAAACAAGGGTGCCTTCTCAGTTTGTAGCTCAAGACAAAAGGTCACTGTGCCCAATTCTTATGTCAGAAAAACTAGACTCAGCTCCTTCTGATGTTTGGCCTCCCTTGGAGTAAGATAATAGAAAATCCTGGGGGTGGCGCCTGTGGCTCAAAAGGGTAGGGCGTCAGTCCCATATGCCAGAGGTGGTGGGTTCAAACCCAACCCTGGCCAAACACCAAAAACAAACAGAAAATCCTTGCATTTTCTTCAAACACAGAAATGAATAACAGTACTGCCACCTGCTGACTGGAGAGCTACACCAGCCTTACCTGTCCTAACTTGAGTCATTTCAGAGGCTGTAGGCCATATGCCCTGTGTCTTTCAATTAATAACTTCTTTATTCTGGAAAAGCAAATGAAAAGTCATATTCATATAAACACTGACATTACAAAGTACAAGGAACAGGGGAAGGGAGAAGGAAATAAAACCCTCTATAAATCTTGCTAATACTGTCTCAGCCAAAAAGATCATACTGCATTGTTCCATATTCAATCACTTATATAATAAACCACAAATAAAATCTTCTCTGGAAGATACACTGCTCCTCTTTGAGACGGCAGGGAAACAGGCCAGGAAGTTGGGGTAGGAGGCTTTATTCTTTTGGCAGATCCTCTCAGTCATTATAGATATTGCTGCACTGTTAATAAAAAATATATGCTTCTCTGTAAAGCATTAAAAAAAAAATTCCAAAGATGAGATGGCTGAGGTCTCAGCTCAAGTATCTCCGAATACATTTTTGTCCATTCCCTGACCTTTCCATGTGTTATTTCTTCGTTGTTTTTCGGATCAATGCCATTCTCTGAAAAGAGAGAGAAATAAGCAGTTACACTGTGGCAGTTAGAGTCAGGAGCCTCCTGGGCCATCCATGTGTAGCTAACAGGCCGCATCATCTATACTGTAGGCTGGAGCCCTCAGGGTCTCCATTGCCAGCTGAGCAGGTTCCTTCAAATCAGAGAGCAGTCTGGAGGGCCCCAACACATGTTTAGAGGGGCCAGTAGATCCATTATTGCATTGATCATAAGAGCCGAACTGCTGTAGGCGAACAGGATGGCAAAAAAGTTAAAAGCAGGAGGTGAGAACTCTTGCATTTTGGGAACTTTGAAGATAACTTAGCAAAGCATGTGTTTTCTAGACTCTCCATACCCCATTCTCTTCTTTCTCTGATGGAAAAAATAGGAAAAGAGCCTCAATTTCAAGCTTGTCATCATACACAAAGGAAGCTGACAGCTCACAACTGATGACCTGCCATGAAGAGAAACTGAAGACTAGTAACTTCTACCAAAACCCACCACAGGGCCAGGCGTGGTGGCTCATTCCTGTAATCCTAGCACTCTGAGAGGCCAAGGCGGGTGGACTGCCTGAGCTCAGAAGTTCAAGACCAACCTAAGCAAGAGTAAGACCACATCTCTGGTAAAAATAAAAAAAATTGCTGAGTTTTGTGGGCGGCATCTGTAGTCCCAGCTACTTGGGAGGCTAAGACAGGAGGATTGCTTGAGCCCAAGAGTTTGAGATTGTTGTGAGCTAGGACACCAGAGCACTCTATCCAGGACACAGTGTAAGACTCTGTCAAAAAAAAAACCTGCCATGGAAACATAGAGATCAGTTTCAATTCTTACTATTACCAAACAGTGAGCAAATTAACAGCTTACTTTGCTCACTCTTTTTTTATCAAGAAATAGTACCAGGGCAGCGCCTGTGGCTCAAGGAGTAGGGCGCTGGCTCCATACGCCAGGGATGTGGGTTCGAGCCCAGCCCCAGCCAAAAACTGCAAAAAAAAGAAAATAAATAAATAAATAGTGCCAATATTATGATTATTTGTTGACTAAATAAATAGGACTGAGAAGTTGATAATCTGGGAGCAGAGCCAAAGTGACAGTCGCTTGTCTAGAGAGATCCTCTTCTGAAGAACAGAGCAGTCCTTTGATGCAGGCTTTGGCAGTTTCCTTGTAGGGTTCCTCTGTGAGCTCTCTAAACATCTACTCCAAAGATACCAGGCTATGGCAAGGCAAGGGGCACCCACTCAGGACTGCTCAGCAGTGCCTGCCAAGCTTAATTGAGCTTAATTTGAAAAGCTCACTTTTCAAATTAGAGTAGTTGGTTAAATAAAGACATAAAGGTGAGGCCAATAGTGCTGTTGGACTGACCAATGACAGGGACAGTTTGCTCCCTTAAAGTGGTATTCTCATACTGACCCCTGCATTCTTTGGCAAGAAAACAGAACTGGGTGTGATGGCTCATCCCTGTAATCCCAGCAGTTTGAGAGGCTAAGGTGGGAGGTTCACCTGAGCCCAGGAGTTTAAGACCAGTCTAGGCAGGTAGCACTGTGGCTCAGTGAGTAGGGCACTGGCCTAGGGTGGTGGGTTCAAACCCAGCCCCGGTTAGATTGCAACAAAAAAATAGCCGAGTGTTGTGGCAGACGTCTATAGTCCCAGCTACCCGGGAGGCAAGAGAATCGCCTAAGCCCAAGAGCTGGAGGTTGCTGTGAGCTGTGATACCACAGCAATCTACCGAGGGTGACAAAGTAAGACTGTCTCTAAAAAAAAAAAAAATTAGGTAAGCACAGTGGTATGTGCCTACAGTCCTAGCTACTCAAGAGGCTGAGGCAGTATCACTTGAACCTAGGAATTTGAAGCTACAGTGAACTATGATCAATTTTTTATTTTTATTTTATTTATTTTTTTGAGACAATCTCACTCTGTCACCCTAGGTAAAGTACCATACCATCATAGCTCACAGCAACCTCAAAACTCTTCAGCTCAAGTGATCCTCTTGCCTCAGCTTCCCGAGTAGCTGGGACTACAGACTCTCACCACAACTCCCAGCTAGTTTTTCTATTTTTAGTAGAGACGGGGGTCTCATTCTTGCTCAGGCTGATCTTGAACTCCTGAGCTCAAGCAATCCGCTGCCTCAGCCTCCCACAGTGCTAGGATTACACAGGTCTGAGCCACTGAGCCCAGCCATATTTTTATTTTATTTTTTGAGAGAGTCTTCTCTGTCACCCTGGGTAGAGTGTTGTATCATCATAGCTCACAGCAGCCTCAAACTCTAAGACTCAAGTGATCCTCTTGCCTTAGCCTCCTGAGTAGCTGAGACTACAGGAGTCTGCCATGAGGCCCTACTAATTTTTTTTTTTTTTTTTTTT